GGCCAGTTGATGCGGGCTGTCGAAGAGAGAAAGAAAGAACAGGAGCGAAGGGATGAGAGGAAGATCCAGAAGGAACGGGAGGAGGAGGGGGATCAGTTTAAGGACAAGGAGGCTTTCGTGACGTCGGCCTACAGGCAGAAGCTCCTGGAGCGGCAAGAAGAGGAGGAGAGGGAGAAGCGGGAAGCCGCGTTGGAGGGTGAGGGACCCGGGGAGGCCACTTCCAGTGGTTGGGGGATGCTTTTTTGAATTTTTATCTCCACAGGAAGTTGTGACAGGCAGCCTGAATGGGAGAAACTGAAAATGATTCCGGAATCCAGAATGATGAGGACCAAAAATTTTATGGGACTGTAGCAAGAAACAGAAAACTACAGCCATTTGTGTCCATTTTGTGTTTGCTGCAGCGGCTCTGGATGTAAAGAAACAGAAGGACCTGAGTGGCTTCTACAGACACCTGCTGAATCGGACTGTAGGCGAGGAGAGGATACCAGACCCAACAGCACCCAGGTAAGCTGCCTGACCTCATCACAGGGATGAATCGTGTCAGTGCTGCACATTCTGTCCATTTCTTACATGTTTGTCTGATGGATAAACAGGGAGCAAACAACAGGAGAAGACAGGACCCAAGATGAGGCTCCAGCCAAGGCCCAGGACACAGAGGACAGTCAGGATGGCCCAAAGGAGGGGGTGGGCCAGAGGCCAGACTTCAGCAGGCCTGCTCTCAGTGGCAGCCACTCCAAGCGGCAATACAGACAGCGGTCTCCCTCCACTTCAAGCACAGAGGAGCGGAGGGAGGAGGAGAAAGGGAGAGGGAAGGAGAGCAGGGAGGAAGAGAGGCGCAAGGAACGGAGTCGTCACAGGGACAAGGAGAGGGACCGGGATGACAGGGATGACCGAAGGAAGGATGAGAGGGAGAGGAGGAGAGAGAGGGATGAAGATAGGAGCAGAGGGAGGAGGGACCGTGAGGAGAGGAGGGAGAGGAGAGAGAGCAGCCCGAGGGACAGAGAGAGGGAAAGAAATGGACTCAGGGAAAGGGAGAGAGAGAGGGAACGGGAGAGAGAGAGAGCCAGAGAAAGGGAGGAGGAGAGAGATAGGGGAAGAGAGAGGGAGAGGAGAAGCAGGGGTGGCGATAAGGATCGGGACAAGGCAGAGGAGGAAAAGGAGCCGCCCCAGAAGAATGAGAGCAAAAAGGAGGCCGAAAGGAGGGAAGGTGAGGAGGAACCGGAAGGGGACACCAATCCCTGCCCAAAACCCAACAAGTTTGCCAAGCGCAGCAGTGAGCAGACGGTGACCTCAGCCAGGGATCGGTTCCTGGCCAGGCAGATTGCCCGCTCCACCACCAAGGCCTACATCGAGAAGGAGGAAGACTAAGACAAAAGGAAGCCATGCAGAAGGAGCACAGATGGAGGACAACCTGCTGCAGTCAGCGTGCACAAGCCCCAGTGACTCTTTATAGGGATGTTCATGTTGTGGGAATAATACATGATTCAAAGCATTTGTTTGAACTTCAGTGTTGGACACCAAACCCCTGATGTAATTTACAAGATGTTTTTAAAGGATTTAAGAAAACATTGATAATCAGTGTTGTTAATAGAACAAGATTATTAACAATAATAAAAATGTGTTTGAGTTCATGATCGCTTTGGAAACAAGACTTGGGTATCCAGCTTGACACCCCATATTTCTGCAGTTGTCTGAGATGTCCACCAGAGGGCATCACATTCTACAGATTGAGCTGGTTTTGCTGGGTCCTTCATGGGCACAGCTCCCCCGCCCCCTGTGTTTAGGGCTGTTGCTCATTCTACAACATGCAGTATCTTTGGAGTGTTTGATATGTGGGGGAAAAGGCCAGGAAGCTGCCCATGGTGGACTGAGGTAGGGTTATTAATATGGAGGATGAAAAACTGTACTGATGTGTGATATTCATGAGGAAGGAGATGACAGCAAAGGAACTTTCAGCAGGCATTTTAGAGAAGTGGGACAGCCTTGTGGTGTAGAGCAGTGTTTATCAATCCGGTCCTCAGAGACCCACAGACAGTCCATGTTTAGCAAAAATGTGAACTGTTTAGCAGGGAGCTGGGAGGGAGCAACAACGTGGACCATCTGTGGGTCCCTGGAGACCAGGTTGGAAAATGCAGGTGTAGATGTGACGTCAGAGACCACAATGAATATTCCCCTACTTATGGTGAACAGATAATCCAGAGAGGACACTTTGAACTACTTCAGGTTTTCCAAACTACAGTGTTTGGATAAATGGTTCAATTCTTGTGCATTGACTGGTTTCCCCCACTGAAAGACTCATCCAGCTGTTTCACGTTAACATTACTGACACATGCATGATTATAGGAAATTGAACAATCGGCACACAGCAAGAACTCAGTGCTTAAGTGAAATCCGGGGGGGGTGTTCCACAAAGCAGGATACCTCAGATAACTGGGTTAACTTAAGATAGAAGTCAGGATTGTCCAATAAGAGTTAAGGAGCATTCCTATTTGGCAATCATGACTTTCAATCACCCCCCTCCAATGGGCTCACCACCTATAGGAGGGGCCATAGGGGTCGGGTGCGATGTGAGCTGGGCAGTGGCCAAAGGCGGGGACCTTGGTGGTCCGATCCTCAGCTGCAGAAGCTAGCTCTTGGGACATGGAATGTCACCTCTCTGATGGGGAAGGAGCCTGAGCTGGTGCGCGAGGTTGTGAAGTTCCAGCTAGACATAGTCGGGCTCACCTTGACGCATGGCCTGGGCTCTGGAACCAGCCTCCTTGAGGGGGGTTGGACCCTCTTCCACTCTGGAGTTGCCTGCGGGGAGAGGTGCCCAGCGGGGGTGGGCATACTTATTGCCCCCTGGCTGGGCGCCTGTACATTGGGGTTTACTGCAGTGGACGAGAGGGTAGCCTCCCTTCGCCTTCAGGTGGGGGGACGGGTCCTGACTGTTGTTTGCACTTATGCGCCAAGCGGCAGTTCAGAATACCCACCCTTTTTAGAGTCCCTGGAAGGGGTGTTGGAGAGCACTCCTCCTGGGGACTCTCTTGTTCTGCTGGGGGACTTCAATGCTCACGTGGGCAATGACAGTGAGTGAGTGAGGGGTGCTGCTGACCTCAACTCGGGACGTTTTGGGTTGGTGGAAGGAGTACTTCGAAGACCTCCTCAATCCCACCGACACGCCTTCCAATGTGGAAGCAGAGTATGGGGACTTGGGTGTGGACTCCCCTATCTCTGGGGCGGAGGTTGCTGAGGTGGTTAAAAAGCTCCTCAGTGGCCGGGCCCCAGGGGGGGATAAGATCCGCCCGGAGTTCCTTAAGGCTCTGGATGCTGTGGGGCTGTCCTGGTTGACACGCATCTGCAGCATCGCGTGGACATCGGGGGCAGTGCCTCTGGACTGGCAGACCGGGGTGGTGGTCCCCCTCTTTAAGAAGGGGGACCAGAGGGTATGTTACAACTATAGGGGGATCACACTCCTCAGCCTCCCTGGTAAGGTCTATTCGGGGGCTCTGGAGAGGAGGGTCCGCCGGATCGTCAAACCTCGGATTGAGGAGGAGCAGTGTGGTTTTCACCCCGGCCATGGAACAGTGGACCAGCTCTATACTCTCCGCAGGGTTCTGGTGGGTTCATGGGAGTTTGCCCAACCAGTCTATATGTATTTTGTGGACTTGGAGAAGGCATTTGACCGTGTCCCTCGGGGAGTCCTGTGGGGGGTGCTCCGGGAGTATGGGGTGCCAGGCTTCCTTTTAAGGGCTGTTTGGTCCCTGTATGACCGGTGCCAGAGCCTGGTCCGCATGGGCGGCAATAAGTCGGACTTGTTTCCGGTGAGGGTTGGACTCCGTCAGGGCTGCTCTTTGTCACCGATTCTGTTCATAGTTTTTATGGACAGAATTTCTAGGCGCAGCCATAGCGTTGAGGGTGTCCGGTTTGGTGACCTTAGGATTAGGTCTCTGCTTTTTGCAGATGATGTGGTTCTGTTGGCCTCATCAGACCGTGACCTTCAGCTCTCGCTGGGACAGTTCACAGCCGAGTGTGAATCGGCTGGAATGAGAATCAGCACCTCCAAATCCGAGACCATGGTCCTCAGCCGGAAAAGGGTAGAATGCTCTCTCCGGGTCGGGGATAGGGTCCTCCCCTAAGTGGAGGAGTTTGTATCTCGGGGTCTTGTTCACAAGTGGGGGGACGATGGAACGGGAGATCGACCAGCGGATCGGTGAAGAAAGAGCTGAGCCAAAAGGCAAAGCTCTCGATTTACCAGTCGATCTACGTTCCTACCCTCACTTATGGTCATAAGCTGTGGGTAGTGACCAAAATAACGAGATCGCGAGTGCAAGCGGCCGAAATGAGTTTCCTCCGCAGGGTGGTTGGGTTCTCCCTTAGGAGCTCGGTCAGATAGGGTAAGGAGCTCGGTCATTCGGGAGGGACTTGGAGTAGAGCCGCTGCTCCTCCGCATTGAGAGGAGCCAGATGAGGTGGCTCAGGCATCTGATTAGGATGGACGCCTCCCTGGTGAGGTGGTCTGGGCATGTCCCACTGGGAGGAGGCCCCGGGGAAGACCCAGGACACGCTGGAGGGACTATGTCTCTCGGCTGGCCTGGGAACGCCTCGGGATTCCCCCAGAGGAGCTGGATGAAGTGGCCGGGGAGAGGGAAGTCTGGATTTCCCTGCTGAGACTGCTGTCCCCGTGACCCGACCTCAGATAAGCGGGAGATAATGGATGGATGGATGGATGGATGGACTTTCAATCAAGGAAAACTGGTCAGAGCACAAGAAGAATTGAACTATATAGCTAAGCACAAGAAACTTTCAGTAGTGGATTATGTGGTTATACCCTGGCTGGCACCAGTGCACTGTCCCATAGATGTCTGCTACTCTCCTGAATCACTGCTAACATCACTGCTGAGGTGAACCAGGCCAAAAAATGGTAAGAGAGGGCTGAAACGACACGGAGGAATTGTTTGAAATCATGACCCTAGGACACAGCCCCATAGCAGAGGCTTGTAGAAAAGTGAAAAACACACCTTAGGAATGAACATATTTTTGCTTTTATTCTTCATAGAATAACCATACAGAAAGTTAAGATTTTTTTTATTGGATATTATAAATGGAATTAACTAAAATCTCCACCCACTGTGCCCAGGATAACTGATTGGAACATGGATAATATTTAATAATCATCATAATAATCAATAATCTAATCCAAGTACATAAAGATCTGTATACTGTTGTATTGGTGGTCTGCAGTAATGTAATACAGAGTGTTTCATCTTAAAACTATGACCCAGTTTAGACTTTAGGAATAGATAAAAACGTCAATCATGTCCCCCAATAACAAATACGTCACCGCATCCTATGAGCCTTTTGCTTTTGATCAATTAACCCCACCTGTCATTACCTGAATGTGTAGAAAAGGCACATGGCTCTATGAGTACTTTATGTATGAGCCATAAGCTGCTGCTGGTACTCCTCTCCGTATGCTTACACACTCTGTTGGAGGCATTTCTGCCCCCACCATTGGCCCCTCTCTCTTTCCCATCCTCATGGGCGCACCAATAAGCCCCCACGTTTGTGATGAGTAATGCACTGCAGTCCCTATGGGTCTTCAAGCAACTACAAAATGGTAAGTTCCATCCTTTTACATTTCTGATGTTCCCATGAAGCAGGAAAAGGATAGATTCACTCTAAAAAGAATTTGGGGCAGTTGACGTACAATTTCCTTTAAAAAATATTGCTTCCTGCATCAGAACTGATATCGAGGGAGAAGCCCAGGACCAGTCCACACTGGGGCTTCCCCTCATCGCACACTGTGTGCTGTTACATTCACTTTGACTGACGCTACAGGCTGCATCGAGTGATGAGACAAACTTAGAGCAGTGCACCACTTGGGTCGCCATAATCATGTGAGGGTAATTTAAGTGGCTCCTGTCTGATCTGGATGACATGAAACCACAAGCCAATGTTGTGTCCTCTGAACATAAATTATCACTTGTTCCTGACTCATACCACTCTCGAATTTAGAAGCAATGCCAAAACATGACCCACACATATATAGACAGATGGAGATAAAAAAAAATTCCTGCTGTCATTTCTCTGATGTCACCATACACAAAGATATACGATGAGCGTACAGCCATTCTTGTATTCCAGTGAACTTTATGGTCCAGAGCTGGTTGATTCCACTGCACAAGGCAAGCCACACACTGCCGATAACCTTCATTCCCATCAGCCGCTCAATCTTTGTACCACCAGACCCAGCTCAGGTTAATTTTTCAGATTTAGGAAAAATATAGTATCTGCCTCCTATAGACCCTGCTGTAGTGGATGAAGAGGACGTACCAGCTTTGGAGATACAATGTTAGGCAGCCGCTCCTGTCTTGTATCCCTCTGAATACATCATTCATCACAGTTTCAGAGGGGTAACTAAATGCAACAACTGAGATCCTGATTCTTTGTTAAAGACACTGACCATTCAGAGCACATTCAAGCAAGGAAAACACACCAAGCAATAAAAACAGCAAATGATACAGGGAAATAACAGAACCATTTTATCTGATACGTGATCATCTCATTTGAAAATTGTTGGGGACTTGTCTTGGTGCTGTACTGTCAGGGGAAGAGTCTTGCAGTTTAATTAGACTTTCCCATCAGGAGAAGAGCTCTCCTCGTTTAAATGCTTCCCGCAGACGCCGGCCTCCGTGGCATCCACCCTTCCACACGGTCTATACACGTGCACCACCAAGTATGCACCAGTTCAGCTAAATTTGCATACAGAATGTTTCCCGTTAGAAATATAAGAAACCCAAGTTCCGGAATTGAGGATGGAAATTCTACACTGGAGCAATGCTGTGCTTGTTATAATCCATCCCATGAATTTATTTTTAATCACTAGCCCATTTGGCAGCCCATAACCTTGGCAAAACTTCAAGGCCAACTGGGCATATTCCAAGACCCATTAGAAGCATTTGTAGAGAACTTCCAATCACAACATGAATACCAGCACCAGAAGAGATGTGATCCGCCTAATACTTCAGTATTTTTTTAAATAGAGGAAGACTAATGAAATATAATATAAAGCCAAAGCTGAACTAGGAGTGTGAAGGAACAGCCTGGGCAATTCTGCAAGCCTCAAAAGTACAGGTGCTAAGTAATCCAGCAACACACAGGAGCACCAAGACCCTATTACACCATAGGGGGGCAGTGTAGGCAGGAGGCAAGTACAGTACACATGGGGAAAGCTGACCGCTAGCCCCAATGCCCTCTGGATTTCAGTGCGACGCCCATCTGTCACTTACACTGCTTTGTGCCGGTAGACCTGTCCGAGCCAACTGACCATCAGACTTTTCGCTGAGTCAGGTGATCTTCTGTTAGACCTTAACAAATATACTGAAAGAGAAAGCTGGGATGCACTTCCCTGGGGTAGGAAACTGGGTCTGATAAAACTTACAACCTAAGAAGATTTTAAAAATTTTCAAATAAAAACCTATGGTTCACTGAACTGGAAACCATTACTGAGGAGAGCAAGAGAGAGAGCGAGAGAGAAGGCATGAAAGAGGAAAGAACTAAAATGTATTGTTGGCTTTTCTTAAAAAAAGGCGTCCTTTGTCTTGAGAAGTCCATGGTGTGGGAGTCTTTGGACGGATGAGAGAAGTGGGACGGAGGTGGTGGAGGGGGCAACCCCTCCCCATTTAAATTTTCATTTTTTCATTAGGCGAGTGCTCCCATTGGGTCCCAGGCAGGAAGAACAATGGGATCCTGCTTCATCACTTCCAGCGTCTCGGAGATAACAAACTTCTTGTCCACCACAACTTCGTAGACGTACTCTGAGAACCAGTCGTCTGTCATGATGAGATAACCTGCAGATTATAGAGAGAAGCCAGGTCGGTTAAGGGATTGGGTTTTTAAACCAACTCAACACATATGGCCAGTTTCCCAGTCAAGGATTAAGCCTAAGCCTAGACTAGCTTTGAGTTACAATGGTGAATCTCCATTGAAACGGCAATTTAGTCCAAGACTAGTCTTAATCCTAGTTCGGGAAACAGGCCCATAGAGTCAATGAAAAGAGAGGCCTGTGTAATGCCAGTGAGATCCTCAATCAAACTTCAGTCCAGATGAAAACATGCAGGGAGGCGATTTGGGCTGTCAGTCACAGGATGAGGACTATGGACGGAAGATCAACCCCACAGGGTTTGGGGGAAAAAAAAAAAAACACTTTCACCTTTATTTCCGCGATCGTCTCCCCAGGAGTTTTCAGCACGCCATTTCTCAAACGTTCCCTCCTTCCCTTCCTGACAACCGAAGAAAGAGAGGGCAGTCAGTTTTGGTTCCGGAGGGCTTTAAGCAGAAAGATCGACTCTTCATTCCAGTACATACTATGAGTCTGAACACAAGTGTGTGACTGAAAGAGAGGGCTGACGGCAAACCTTGTCAGTGACAGCAGTGAGGATCATGGCATGGGTCATGAGCGAGTCACCATAGATCAGTCTCTCAGCCTTGGACAGGTTCTTCACAGAGACTCCAAACACTAGCTCGTGGTTGAACCTGCGTGGTGCAAAAAGCAGCAGTATTGGAAGGAGCATGAGGAAGGTAGGGCGACAGGCAACCAGTGGAGAAAACAGACGACTGATAAGCCACAGGCTCCTTGGCTGGACCGATAGACAAATGGGATTGTCTGACTGATACTCACACATTCATGTCATTGATGCCCAGTTTCCCGTGGAAGTGCTTCCCCACGTCACAGCCGAACCACACCGCCTATACAGAGGCATTGGTGAGGATTGGACACAAACACCCCCCCCGCCACAAACACACACACACAGCCCCGTTCCTACCTCTCCAGCCTTAATGGATTCTGCTGCAGCATCCTTCAGCAACTGGATGGACTGGTTGTTATATAATGTCTTCCTCCCACCCACCATGTTACCCAAAAACTCCACTGTGTACATCTTCGAATAGGGACTTGTGGGCCGTGGGTCATTCACCAGGCACACCTATGGGAGCCAGGAGGGGACAATCAAAACCTACAATACCTTCTTAGCCCTGTTAAAATGGGGAATGAGCCTGAGAAGTCACTTTAAAGGCGGATGATGATTAAAGGAACATTTGACCGACACAATGCAGGCAAGAGGTGGCTGACACAGGACAGGTAGCCAGTGCGTGATGTACCTTGTCTTGGATGTTGTAGACTGGCTTGACGTGCTCCCTGTAGAACTCCTGGGGTGTCAGTGGGCCGATGCGGTGGAAGTTCTTCTCCTTATCCCGGAATTCCCAACAGATGGTGTCAGGCGGGCTGCCCAGGCAGACACTGACTATACGGAACACCTGAGTGCACAAGTGCAGAGGAAGGGCCCATGATTACCAGAACATGAGCAGAAGAACCATCTCACATGGCAAGGTTCTATGTCACCGCTTAAGTGCTGCCAAATCAGATCCATCAACATGAGGAATGGTCTTTGTCTGCACCTTGAATTTGAAGAAACGCGGTGCCCACAAACATCCCTTGACCAGGTGGTCAAAAACATTCAACAAGACCCAAGAGATCTATCATGCACAGCCATCTACACAGAAGTTCCTCTGGGCAGCAAGGCATACACACACGCACAGGCTAGAACTCACCTCCTCAATCATGGTGTCCATAGCTTCAGACAGGTCTGCTTTGGTGTAGCTGTTGGCCACCATGTCCCTCAACCTCAGACAGTACTCCCGGAGCTGAAAGATACCTGGTCATTCTCAAGAAAAGCCCGATGACAGAAACACTGGGATATAATCTCTTATGCCCAGGAATCATCCTCAAAAACAAGATTCACCACGATTCAGCAGCAGAACTGGTCCTGTATGTCATCCCACCTTGTGATTGAGGATGTCATTCATCCTCCGCGATGCCTCCGAGCTGTGAGACTCCGGGAAGCATTTCTTTGGAATAACTCCATACTTCTCTGCAAAAATGAAAACAAGCAAATGAATAAACCAATATATACATAGATGAATAAAACAATGTAACAGTTGGGTTAATTCGGGGCCAGTTCTAGTTATAGGTAGAATAGGTGGTTGCCTAGGGCCCCTGAATTGGCTGCGTTGTGGAAGAAGTGAAATGATTATTACTAGGGTAGCTAGACAGGCCTCTCGGGTAAAGCTTTGCCAAGTGACCCTGAAAGGGTTTGGGAAGGTCAATCTGAAAAGGTAGACAGTGGAGTCAGGAATAGGGAGGATACAGGATAAAGGAAGTCAGAGAGAAGATGGGGGCGGGGGTGTCACATTTACCGATGAGGTTGACCAGCATATCCCACTGTCCCCCATCATTTGTGGGGTTAGACAGCAGGAACTGCACCAGTCGCCCGTCCACTGGCTCATTCCGAAGGGCCGTCTCCACAAAGGCGTGCAAGAAATAATAGCAGCGCTCCACCTGGTACACAGAAGTGGAAAAGCAGCTTAGACCAACTGAGAAGCACCGACGCGGCAAAGCTAATGGGGACCTCCTGTCTCCAAACAGCCCTGGGGGCCGGGCACCTCTGCGCATGCTCACCTTATCCCAGAAGAAGAGGTAGGACTGACTGAACTCAAACTCCTCGATGTTGAACTTCTTCATGAAGGGCAGGCGCATCACATTGAGGCAGGAGAAGATCCAGCATCGTCCTGGAGGGGAACAAGTAAGCTAATGGGGTGCAGGTGTCTCTGCTGTGCTGTGTGGCTCAGTGAGTTAAGCCTCTGTGCAAGGTTGCTGGTTCAAGTCTGGCCTCTTCAGAATAGTCCCTTGTCCCTGGGCCCTTTAATAAGGCCTCTAACCCCCAACTCCCAGGTTGCTGCAAGATGGCTGCCCCAAAGCTTGACACACACCCCCCAACCCAAGCTTGTTCTCACCTGTATGGATGTATTTATGAATCTACATGGGGAAACCCCCCACGTATCTTATGATACACTGTGGTCCCGTGGGAAAGACGTCACACGCAACTGTATACTTGTGTATGGCTGGCAGGACAGTAAAGTCCCACTTGACTTATGCGTCTGGATGATCACTGGATTTTCCATGTGTGCGTGGAGTACTTTATAGTGTAAATTACACCCTGTCACACACATTTTTAATCACAAGTCAAATTTATTTGCATGGGCTTTGCAAGCGTATCACCGAAATTACAATTCTGAGAGCTGCTGCACCCAGATATCGGTACCGTTCAAAACCCTGTAAAACGTCACAGTGCTGTGCTCCCGAACAGATAACTGATAATTGACCAAGATGGTTGTGATATGTGCCACGCATATTTTTTTTTTTGTGCCAGTCTGGTAGACCCATCACATAAATAACCTAAGCTAAATACTGGCTCGGTTAGTTATCTGTCCACCTGGCCATTTAAGCACTAACTGTTATGTAAGCTGCCATTTTCTCTCTTGGTACAAAGGTCGTGGCCAGGTTTAGACCCAATGCCGTTCAGGGAATCAGTGCGGGCCACTTAGCCAGAATGAGGAGTCCCAACGCCAGGGAGTCAAGCGAGGTGCTTGACTTTAGTAATCATCTTAATGGGGTTCCCCCTTTAACCATTAATTGTTAATGGATTATTCCATTAACCCAGTAATCACAACTGGCCATGTTTGACACAAGTACTAATCTAACCTAACAGTTACATTGTTTTACACCTGCCCCGTGGATGCTGGGTGTGTTTTATTTCCTGTAATCTCCAGAACGTTCCCAGCCTTACCAGAGCTTTTCTGGTTGGTGATGGGCTTGCCCTCCATTGGAATGCTGTGCTGGAAGATGTGCACAGTGTCCTGGACCGTCTGCCGGTGCAAGCAAACCTCCAGAGGGTCGATGCAGGTAGAGACATTCTGGGCCAGCAGGTAGCGCGGTTCTGCCTTCAAGCGCTTGGTGAAGGAGGCAATCTTATCCTGGCTGAGTCCTGGGACAGGAGAAGTACAGGATGGGATTGGAGCCAGGGGATCAGAGTCCGAGATGATGGGGGGTTAGCATAAAGCTAGGAATCATACCTCCAGAGATATGGAACAGGGAATCAGGGCACTTTCATATAGATCAGGGGTGAAAAACAGTATTAACAGCCACTGAAATCCAAACAAGTTACCGTACCAAACAGCTTACACATCATTGTCTATTCTCACATACTGACTGTATATTTGGCTCTATTCATCCCCCAGACTTGTCCTGTATACTGCGGTGGGGGTATGCCCTCATCGTACATGTCGATTTGAACAGTCACAGTTCATTTACAATGGCGAGTATAGTTAGCACTGATGTAGCGTAGCCAGCAGAGAGATGCCACAGCCCTGTTTCGCTATACAGTGTCCTGTTATGGGTGATGGGAGATCTGAGATCGGGGTGGAGGTGGCAGGACGGTACTCGTTAGGCGTCCAATGCGCTTAACCAGTCATTAGCGTGAATAAATGTAAAACACACCGAAATCAATGAGCACTCCGGATGTACCGAAAGTCAAATTGCGTTTGTTGAACCGTAATTTCAGCACCATCGTCCAAATACAAAAATAAAAAGAATTTTAGCAAAATAATACCCCATACGAGAAACGGGATACATTTCCCACTTACGTACAACACTAGAAACAGTTTCTGTTAAAGTTAATATTAGGTTCTGACTTCACCGCGAGAGGTATCGCTGGATTATCTGGAAGTCAAACGTTTTGAATTCACCGTCGACAAAGCATAAATAGACCCGTGCTGACATACCGGTGTCCATCGCTCCAGCGGGGGGTTGTGCTGATCTCTGCTGAAGGGTCGCCGGATCGGTCTTTGTTTATGGCCCCACTCACCAAAGCAGTTCGTGTCCCGGAAACAGGAAGCGGACCGGATGGCAGTGTGACCCGATTCTCAGCGCACGGACTCGCAAAAACGTTTGAAGACAAGACAATATTTCTGTAAAATCGCAGTAGTATGGAGGTCTGCCTGTGCAGAATCCACAGGGATCACCAGATGAAATATTAAATAAGGTACTGGTCAGGGATAGGCGGGAGATTTGAAATGCATTTATGTGACTTCAGATAGCATCGGAAGCTCGTAACATCCCGTTGAATCAAATGGAGCTGTGACGGGTGACCCATGTCATTAAGCATTTCGCGGTAAAACGCCGGCTTTCGCGCAAAGAGCGCGCGCTCTTCGGTTCCGCGTATGCCACTCGTTGGCAGTCACGTGTCACATAGGTCCTCCCCGCAGGCTAGTTTATCCATTTCAAACGTAGCCGTACCATTGTATTTACCAATGATTCACGTTAACCCCTCCCAGAGGTGCAATAGCACCATGAACAAGTCACTGCAGTACTGGATTGAACCAGAATATACAAGCTATTAAACCTTTGAGTGACCAAAACAAACGAAATCTTTCGTGATCAAACTCAGTAGATGAAAAACCAGCAAAACGGGATCAAATAAACATCATCATTGCAACATCTTACTCAATGCACACCCAGTCAAACAAGTTTGTTGAGAACGTAGGTCACGAGTCTTCCGATCAAATGAGTTATTGAATGAGTCGCCCATAGATGTAGCAGCTTAACTTGGCAATCTGATTCCATCTAGTAACTGCAAACAAACTACAGTCTTTTTTCCAATACAAATAAGCTTTATTGAACTCAAGATACAGACAATAATTGCAGTGAGCACCAGGCTTCCTTCCGGAGTGTCAGAGCTCACACGTGGTCTGGAGAAATGCCAACCCTGGAAATAGAACCAGCCAAGAATTAATTGGGAGGGGGGAAAACACACAGAAAGACTTCATTTCACCGAAAAGGAGGTGTCAGAAAACCATGTCACCACTGAGCAATCTGCCGGTAATTCCAGCTAATTTCAGTTTAGGTTTCATCATTTCACATCTCAAACAAAAAATGATTTCTAAACACAGCGCCTCTTGAACCACTTCTTAAGAGAGGCAATCGCGTTTTCGGTGGTTTCACTTCACAAAGCTGCGGCAGGCTTACCTTAACGGTCCAAAAAGCATCCCACGAAGCAATCAACGGATGGGATACGAAGCTGCAAGAGAGAACGGACTAAATACAGCGCATAAAAACAAGTCTAGACGTTACCACTTGGTTTTCTGCCATGTCTCAGAACATTGGATTATAAAATCGTCAGTTATCGCATCAGACGGCACTTCCTATTCCACGTTATCGTCACCGGAACATGGCACACATACAAGTATAACACAATCAGGAGGGTAAACTGAGGTTATATACACCTGTCAAAGCACAGCTTACAGACTGAAGAGCAATCAGCGCTATTAGAACATTACAATGTGAACGGGAAATATGAAAAGCATAAGACTTACCCTTAGTAAGGCTAAGCAGACGTCGCCCTAGCTGCACAGAAAACCTTCCCTCTACTCATCGTCCTAGAATATAAAAGTAAAGATCGACCCATTCACCTAAAACCGGTTTAACAATACATGCTGAAGAATGTGAATAACCCAGTTAGGCTTTTCTCTTTCCAAATTACAAAACCCAGAAGGAAAAAAACGGTCCCGGACCCTGGCAAGAGAATAAGGGCAACAGGCATTTGCCACGTGCATTTTGGCGCATGCAGATTATGCAGGCAAACATCGCTAAATTAAATAATGTGCTAAATTTAATTCATCCGAAAGTACATATAGGGATACGCGTATTTAGAAATTTTACATAAGAAGCAGTTATATTAAAGAAATTTAACATAGACTTCGCCTCCGATGCCATCCCTCCGAACCCTAAGCGTCCTAGACTGAAAAAGAAAGAGCAGAGTCGAGCGCCCATTTTTATAGAAGACCACGTCGGGTGACGTCACGACCACAGTCTGTCGATTGCAATTGACGTTTAAGCACTTTGTCACAAAGTAGTCCGTTGAGCAACACGAATATGGTTGCACGAAAGTTCCGCTCTGGCGGCTCTTTATTCTCAAAAAAGAACTTTTGTCAGTAGGACGTCTTTCTGAGATATTTTTTAAAACTGTTGTGGGTAGTTTCATTTATTACGTACCTTAGACATTTGGGTGGCATGGCGGTTAGCACACACAGCTATGAACTACGTCGCAGCAGACCCAATACATACAACGGGGGGCATAAATATTTACATAAAAGTGGTTAAAAGCGATATCCAAGTAAAATAATGTAAAAGAAAAGCTTGTCAAAAATGTCACATTACTGACACAAAATACCTTTTATTTACCAAACTCTATATAATACATAACATTCAAATATACATAGATAAAATTTCTTTAAATAGTCAACATTTTAACATTCTTTTATGTCGTATATATGCTCTGTAATTAATACACATGACAACATAATATATAAATTTAACAGATGGCAATATATTATTTTGGACACTGGGAATTGGAAATCTATAAATTATTTTTATATATATTACATCTCGGATGTAAGTTGTACAACAACAAAAAAAAGAGCAGAACGTTTTTGTTGCTTGATTACCACTAGGGGCGCTAAAGGTTTGGTTCTTCATAGGAAAGATGGCGTAACGCTTAAGTCGTGCTTGTACAGAGGAGTTGTGCTTTCACAGAACCAGAGTGTTCAGTTAGGCGCCTTTTGTTTTGGTAAATTAAAGAAGAATGTTTTGATTTTCCCATTAATTCAGTAGGGAATGTTTAGGGGTTATATGGTTGTGGAAGAATCTGAAATGTGATTTGTGCTTATGACTGAAATATGACAGGGGTTATCAATATTATACTGTGTTTACATTCACTTAGACACATACAGATAATGAATTTCAAGTATTTCATTCTTACCCTTAAACCCACACTTAAGATGGATGCCCTGGAAATTCTGCTGGCCTTGTCGGTAACGTCAGTATCAGTATGGGCACAATTTATACCCAGCCTTGGATCTGGTACCAAGAAATTCACATTCATTGGAATATGTTGCACGTTGATTTTGTCCTGTCTTAGGTCACACTTATATTGCTGCATTTTATTTGTTATTTTGTTTTGAGAGCCAACTCAACTAGTCAGCATGGTTTGGTGACTTTTGTAATGGCATCTCCACTCACAGTGACAAATGTAAGTTGCCTTTTTTGGTTGTGTGCACAAACATAATATCCATCCTTCCACACCCTGGACTGGATGCCAGTTCATTGCAGGGCACACCCAGAGTCATTTGCTAATGGGCAATTTGGAGACTGGTGTCTTTGGATTGTGGGAACAAAACTGTGTTCCTGGAGAAAACCCATGCGATATGGGGAGTCCACACACACAGAGGAGCCCCCACATCACATTATATGATTATATATAACTCAACCACTGAAGTTGATAACAGATGGTGACAAACTTGTGCCCAGTAGTTTGTGTTTCAGGTTTTATGTTCAGCTTTTCAGAAACAAATTTCATTTAATTATGCCAAACCAGCTTACTCAGCCTGATTTCCTTCTTTTAATACAGCCATGTGTTTTTCAGAGCTTCTAGATTCGACCAATCACATGCTGTGCTCTGTGATTGGTCATTCACTCCCACTAAGCCTCTGCACTAATGTCCTCCTTAAACGAGCAAAGAGGACATTTGAATTAGGCTTCAAATGACAGACACCAGATGGTCCACTAAGTAAGACGGGAAAATGCATGAGAAATAGCCACCCAGAAGCTTTGGGGTACTGGGATCTGGTTTGAGTGGCAAATGTTGTATGAGGGTTTGCCGGTATTGTCGACCCTTGTGGGAGCTGTGTTTCTGGAGAACTAACATATTTCAGTTGCATTGCTAATTGCTAGCTTTTTCCGCATTTGTGTGTGTGTGAGAAAGATGTATCATTGTCATGTAGAAAGTTGAGACTTTTTCTGTAGAGTGATACAGAATAGTAATGATAAAAATCCATTAGATTATCTTTTTTATCTTCTTTGCTACAATTCTCCTGGCTCCTGTGCTCTTTAATTATGGTGATTCCGTTGCTATGTCGCCCCCTGCAGGTCTGATTCAGACCAGAGAATTAAAGCTTAGAGTGAGGATAACACAGAAGGCTGATGCATCTATTCCTTCTCCAATCCCAAACATGGTGTCAGTAACCGCATGGTGCTCCTACCTAAAGCAAGAGGTAAAAAAAAAACACTTAGAAGGTGGAACAGGGCAGTGGTACAGAGGAAGATACACTGGAGAAATAAAATGGCCAATAGAGGAAACAGAAAGCACTTAAACACACCATACCATACTCTAACCAGCCCCCAGCTCCATGCTTCAGCTAGTGTCCCTGTAAAGATAAGATGACACTTTGTCAGATGTCACCAAAACGTTCATTGCACCACAGACAAATCTATTCCATTCAAACAATGAAAAACATTCATCCATCTATTTTTTATACTGATTTTTCCAATGCAGGGTCATATACTAGAAACTACACCAGAAACTACAGGTGCAAGGCGGGGAATAACCCAGGATGGGGTGCCAACCCATCACAGGGCACGCACACACACCCCATTCTCACATACATACAAACCGAGGGACAATTTTGCAACTTCAATTAACCTCAGCATGTTCTTGGCCATTGGCCACTGGAGAACCTGTTGGAAACCCCACAACAACACAGGAAGAACATGCAAACTCCACACACATGGAACCTTGATGGAGACTCAAACTTTGGTCCCAGAGGCGTGAGGCAACCACGCTGAAGTACAAACCATACCTACATCACCAACACCAGTGTGAAAACTGCACCCTAATTTCTTAATATGACATTTTTAACATTCCACTGGACTGTAGTCACGCTTACATTTTTTACATTTACATTTTATTTATTTAGCAAATGGTTTTATCCAACACGACATACATTTTTGTAATCGGGGTTAAGAACCTTGCTCAGGAGCCCAACACTGAAATCACTAGGATTTGAACCAACAACCATCTGATTACAGACACAGCATCCTAACCTCATGGAACTGTTTGAAGGTACAACCTGATATTCCCAGTGAAGTGTACATGTAGGTTCTGAAAGCAATACTGCTCACAAGTCTTTTTATGCTCTTCTGGCAGACCTCCAAAGGTACTGCTCATGCATCGTGTCCATAATGCAAGAGCAGATGGGATTACAGCAGTGTTTGCCATCTTGGTTTTGAGCCTAACAGAAGGACAACTGTACAAATTCGTAGCACAGCATTGCATGACACTCTGAATGGATGTGGAAAACAGAAATAAATGTCTGGTTGCTTGTTCCAAAACATTTTCTTCCATGAAGGAAAGGAACAGGTTGTTGAATCTTACAGCCAACAGTTAATGTGTGTGGTCAGTGACAGCTATTGATCTATATGTCCCCGGGTGTTTTATAGGATGAGACCTGCTTAATTTATATTTTCTGAATGACTTATTTTAAGTAGACATGATAAAAATGGAATACCAAAAATAATTTCTTCTGTTTTGTTTGTGCATTCTGATCAAAACACTCCAGTAACCTGTCCAGTTTGTTGGTTTTCCATCTGGATAATCTTGGTCGGTCAGTAAGGAAAGTATGATCCAATCATCTGAATATTTAAGCATGAATTAATTTTGTGTGTTCATTTTGTACAAATTTTGTTGAATAATGTGACTGTGACAATTACATCTTTAGCTCTATGACCCTCTTTATAAGTAAAAAGTTAATATCTAATTTAGATTTAAACTGTAGCAGTTTACGTAGAGATTAAAGAGTCAAATATTACCCAAATTTTGCAGTTTCATGTTCTTGGAAGGCCCAGCTGTTGTACCCTTGAGCAAGGTATTTAATATAATTGGCTCTGATAAGACATCCAGCATCATACCCTGAGCATCCTGACTCCCTGAGCCACTTTGAACACAAGCAGCTACGAAGTGACTGTAAATGCGTGTAAGACATGGTTCTTATTTCACCAGTAGGTGGCGCTCTGTACTCAGCATGAAGAATGCAAAAATGTGCCAGAATTCACTGAAGATCAGAACTGGGCCAATTCAGTAGCCAATTAATTCGAAGAAGTATCCAAATGCATAATGAGTCATATTTTTACACCAGAAAGCCTAGCCCCAAAGCACCATGGATTTATAATCATAAGAATGTTAATTAGGCTTCCTTTGTTCAGTTAATTAGATTCGTTAGAGGATGCAGTGAGGCTCCAGAAAATGCTGCATTAAAAGGGACTAAAAACTAGAATATGTTTTTGCAATTACATGGTGATTAAGGTGGCTTTTAAATTAATGTAAGTAAACAAG